AGGTTCTGCTACATATATACTGTTATAGGAATTAATGTGCATTCCTTCACTTATGTTACTTTACATATCATGACAAATTAATAAAATCAATAAAAATGACCTGGGGTTTAACAGGTTGTAAAATGAGTTAAGTTTAACCTTCAGTATATAAACTCACACATCAGATTTCACACTGGTAGCAATAACTGTCAGTGTCTTCCATCAGAGAGCAGGAGTTTCAGCCCACTCTTTATTCAGACATTTGCAGACGTTTCTTTCTGCACAGCTCTGTTCATTTCAATCAGGTTGAGGTCCAGACATTGACTGGCCTGTTGGAACATCTTGATTCATTTCTGTCAGCCACTCTGTCGCAGGTTTGCTGCTGCGTTTGGGGTCTTTCATTGTCCTGCTGACGGTCCAGTGAGGACAAAGCTTCAGTTGTCAAACAGAACCCCTCGGATTTTGCAGTAAAATACGTTATGAACAGATTTACATCATGATCTGATCTTAGTGGAAGGTTGATTGTTTGGTCTTGCTTCACCACCATGCTGGTGAAGTGTAGTATTTGCATGAACATGCTGCGTTTCGTTCTCTCCATAGATGTCACTGCATAATAGGGCCTAGCATATCTGCCCTGGGTCTCCTCTGACAAAAAGCCATTCAACCACAAGCCATACAAATGCAGCTCTCTGCATACCTTACCTGTGCTGCCATTCTTTTTAGTGAGAAACAAGCTTTAGAGTCTGAAATGGAGCTGCAGTAGAAATATCTGAAATGACTCAGATATATTGCCAACTTGTGTATATCTGCAGTTCTCCTCCTTCCTAACTCTTCAGGGTTCTTTAGTATTATTCATTGTTAAGTCTCACTTCCTGAGTCCCTGAGTTCAGTCAAGCTAAACTCTTTTACAGGGCAAAGAGAAACTCTGGGCTGCTCCCAGTGTCTGCTCAGTCTGACTCATTAACCGAGTCACAGAGCCATCAGTCTGCTGCCGGCGCTGCGTAACAGCAAAACATTCAAGGATCCAGGGGATTACTTTAGACAGTGTGTGTGTTGCCATTGGTGAATAGGGAATGTATGGACTGGGGAAAAGTTTGCAATGCGATGATCAACTTTCAACTACACATGTGGTCTGGATTCCTTTAGAAGAACAGAAGAGAAAGAAGTGTCCCTTTTGTGTGAAATTAGGACTTTAAATACCAACTTCATCTGGACATCTAAAGAGTGAAAAAAACATTAAAAACAAACATTTCAGTGTTTAACGACGACGTTTTACGGTTTAACTAATTGGATAAAATGTAGTGTTTCTGGACCCAGTCCATCACCAGTCAGTCAACTGTTGGTTTTAGTTTTTTATGTAAAACTAAACTTTTTATCTACTACCTCATCAAAAACCAAAACAAGGTAAACCATCAGCCCGTAGTGGTTCCCTAGTAGTGGTCTACTCAGACTTTGACAGCATTTAGAAGAGTTTGAAATGCATATATATATATATATATATATATATGCAATAGGGGACACTGTAAGCTGTACTGACACCATACATCTGCTGCCAATACAACATCAAGTGAAAAACAGCCTTGAGCTCCTAACATATCAAAATACCCATCCCAGGTTTAAACTGTGCATGTGCTGTTTATTTTACCTTCTTTAATTTTTTTTTCCCTAAAAGCCATGTTTGTTTGTTTTTTGTTGTTTTTATTTAGCTCATTTGTATGTTTGTTCCCAGACTGACTTGGTCAGATAGATGAGTAAATGTGAGACCATCACAGTGTCCTACTTCCTCTTCATGTAAATGTCATCAGATGCTGATGGTTCAGCTCTGGGCTTTGATAGTTTGAACCTGTGACCAGGAGCTCCAATTAAAGCTGCAGGCTGATTTCACTTCCTGCTTATCATCTCTGACATGAGGAACCATCTTTGCCATTAGCTTTGGATCTACAGCAGCTGGTTCAGTGTGGAGCCTTTATACATTACATTGTACCATTTGTAGGTTTGTTAGTTTTGCTTGATGATTCTTGGCTTTAATAAAAACCAATAAATAGCGGGACTGCAGGTCAGGCTTTTTGAAGGTTGATGATCAGTCAACTGCTTATATTTCTGTTCTTCCTCTGATTTGATTTTTAGACACCTCACATCCTTAAAATTACTAGCTCTTTTCTTGAGTGTCTTTTCTCAATAGTAGCATCCACACTGAAGAGTGTTGTCAACATTACCTATTAGTTTGTCTAAGGTGCCTTCATTGATTAGACAGAGTTTTCCAACTTCCTTGTGCAAACATCAAGAAACCACATGCTCTTCAGTAAAAATCAGATAACTCCAGTATGCATAAATGATTGGAATCTTCTAATCTCATCATGTTTGTTTGATTTGATGTTCGTCTCTTTCAGGAAATATGTGGTTTACACAAGTGAGTTGAAATGTGTGTATACAGACATTTGGAATTAGCAATTCAGACTAACTAAAGCTAAAAAAAGAAAAGCCTGATCTGTGTAAATCTAATTCAAATTTACACATAAATCTAGACTTTACAACATATTAAATCAGCCTCTCTGTGTCGGGAAAATGTGATTTATTTGAACTCTATTTCCACACCAAGCTGTTGTAGTTAATTAGTAATAGCAAAAAGTGATAATCCACTTAATGATACTGATTTTTATTATAGATGGGACTAACAATTAATCAACTAACGATTAAATTAATTGACTAACGATTCACTATAGGTGGCCATTTACTTCATAACCTGTGTTTTGATTTGTATCGTGGGGTTGACATGTTTCTTTTTTCATGTGCTGTATTTGAACAAAATCATTTTTTTGTTGTTGTTTTTTATGTCGTCAGCTGTGGTATATACTGACTGAATTAAAAGAAAATTGTGGTTTCTCGCATTATTAAACTTAAACATCTTTATAATCTCCCGGAAACCCCCAAAAACAACCATCCTCATTGGCATCGTATCTAGACTTAATATGGAACCGTCTTGCAATTGGTTGTTAAATGTAGCGTCCCGTATTGAACCAACACGAGACGCAATTTGTTCCATATTCTACAAATGTGTATCTATAATAACAAAGAAATGATCCCTGAGTACTTTATATAGTAGACTGTCCCAGTCATTGTTTCACTTATGGTGCTGGTGTTGTGATATTGTGCCCAATTGCTTTCTGGGTAATACACACTAACCAACACACAGCCCCCCCTCCCCCCGCTTTACATACATAGGACTGATTACATTGATAGAAAAGGTGCAGCAACATAAAACAAACATCTCCGTTGGGACTCCCAACAGATATGATGTTCCAGTAGAAACATATTTTATTGCAACCCAGGACGGATTAATTGAAGTGAACAAGACGAGGGTCTTTGAAGGATTGTTCAGACGTGGTTTTGAGTAAGCTGTGATAACGTTTGTTTGTCTGACGCAGCGTACACGTTGTTACATCCACTCAGCATGATGAGCCCAGTCCCTCACATTCTCAGACAACCCACTCAGTAAGGTCACACATCTGGCTTTGTGTGTTAACTTTCAGTGACCTGTTTAGCACACATGAGGTCATGAACTACAGACACACACACCACAGCTTACTGGCAGCACTTAGTGCAATCATCTTTGACCTGGCTCTCCATCTATTGTACCTGAGTCTGTGTGTGTCTGCAGATGGGGAACATGTGTTTGAGTGAGTGAGTGAGTCTGCTGCTCATTAGAGCCTGAGTATTTACTCATAATAGAACTCGTGTAATCTTTGCAGTTGTGCAAAGTCAGAGCCTCATATTTTGGGGGGGATTTTTAAGCAGCACTATTTAATTTAAGCAATTAGATCTATATTCACTTTATAAAATAAATCATTCAACTTAAACTTATCACGTTGGGTTGTAGGTTATGTCATATCAGCACAACATGTCACATCATTGTGAAATGATGCGACAAGTAAAAGGAAAATGATACATTAATTAAAACACTTTATTTTTTTAGTTTTGTTACAAACAAAATATGAATATTTTGGTGTGCCTTTATAATCACCTTGTACTTTGGTATCCTGAAATAAAATACAGTGAAGCTACTTTCTTCCAAAAGTTACTTAATTCATAAAAAAACTGCTGAATGGTTTTCCAGCTACATCTAAGAATTGGACTATCAAAAAAAAGTTTCAATATATTTCGTAGTTTGAAAAAGTGTCCTCTTTCTCCTAAAAGAGCTAAATTTTATGTTAGCATGAAAAATGCGAGTTCATAACACGTGGAATATGCTAGCCAACAATAATTACACTGCAAGCAGTCCTTCACAATATTAATATTGCACCCATTGATATTACTGCGGTGATATAATTGATGTATTTTGTGTCTCCAAATTCTATAGCACTTAAGTAGAACGTCTTCGTCTGTAATTATTCTGAATATGTGGTTTTGTGTTTTCAGCTAAACAACACATCAACACCCTGGGCCACCAGCTCCAGATGAACCAGCACTGCCTGGACACGGCCTTCAACTTCTACAAGATGGCCCTCAATAAAAGCCTGACACGCGGCCGCAAGTCTGATCACATGATGGCCGCCTGCATCTACCTGGTCTGCCGCACCGAGGGAACGCCTCGTATCCTTTCTGTAACCAAGTGTGTTATGTGTTGATGAGTATATTCTGTGATCTAATAAAAAACTATTTCAGTCCATCTTCTCTCATGGAAAAGCAAAAATTTACAAGCAAATACCAGAACCAGAACATATCATCAGAAACATTTCTAAATGAAACACCCTACAGTCTGAGGTCTATCTGAGGAGTGTATGCACCACTCCTCTCTAACTGCAGTGAGATGTTCTTGCATGTAGAGTTTATTCCACGGCTTCAATTTTAATATTTTTAGAAATGGTCTTGGTAGTTGACATCTTGAGCTGTCTTCAACATGAGCTGTCTGTCAGAGATTAAAATTTTTTTCCAAAAGATGCTGGCTTAATACAAACCTAAATGTTACAGCGGAGCATTATAATAATAATAATATTATTATTATTATTCAAAGTACAGGAAGAACTTTGGGACTTCTTGATGAACATAGAACCTCTTTACATTTGGGCTCAGAGTGTCTTTGCCGTGCCGTTCCCGACCCGCCTGGCCTGTGAGGATGACTGGGTTACGCAACCGCCGGTGGGTTTGTTATTCTGATGAAAGAGAGGGGAGCAGGCACTGTGAGGCCTTTGCTGCTGCGTTGTTGACTCAGCTTCTGTTTGTGTCTGTGTTTCTGTGTGGGTTCGTTTCCACAGGCCTATCTGTTCACGCATGTTTGGAGGGGTAAGGCTGTGGTTAAAAATAGTTGCCTCCCCTCCTCCTTTTTCCACAGCTGGGTGAAGTCGTAGAGATGATCAGGACATAAACAAAAGGAAGAGGAGGAGGAGGAGGAGGAGGAGGAAGGCTCAGTCTTACCTGGAGTTGAATTTAATGAGCACCAACAGCATAGAGATGCTCAACAGTCTGGAACACAGATCCATTTTTAGACCTCAGACAGATTATGCACACACAGCCAGTTCTGCTTCAATTTTTGTTCTTCTTCATTGCGTTTCCTTTTAACTTTATAGCGCTAACTTTTTTGCCGCTTCCCCTGTTATCCAGTAGAAATAACTATCAAGCACTTTGAACTTCTTGCCGATCTGACTTGACGATTAAGAGGAACATTCTTGCAGAAGGCCAGCAGCATCTCCGTTAGCTATTTTTAAATCCCCTCAATGAGAGCGTTCAGCCCAGTTACTAAAAGAGGCCAAGCAACGCAGAATCTCTGAACTGGGATGCTACTGGGCTTGCTCTTGGGGGAGGAAAGAGCTGCTTAACATCAGCAGGTTGCTGTGGCCTTGATCTAAATCTGAACGTTTTGTTCCTCCTTGGAACCGCTTGCATTCAGAACAGTGAGTCTCTTGAATCTTAAGGACTTCTGTTTACAGAGTCCCACACATTGTTGGTATGTTTGAGAAAAATGAAAGAAGTACCTCTGGATGAAAATCTGGAGCTTGGACAAATAAAGATTGTAGGCCACAATCAAACATATTCTAAATGGTTGTTTTTGTTTAAGCTAGTAGCATAGTAGATGCACTTAGAGAACTACTGAGTGTTTGTTGGACTTCCTCAGACTTCTAAGTTAGTGTAAACGGTGACGGTCATTCTTTGATCTCCACAAATATTACGTTTAGTAAATGCCAGGCCAGAGAGGATAACACCTTGAACCACTGAGGACTGAGGAGGTTTTGAGGATCCTCCAGGTGTGTTTAGGGAGGCGGAAACTCTGAAGTTTGGAAATTGTGTTTCGAAGGCGGAGCTAGGTCCACCCAGGCATTTTGCTCAGATGAATGGTTTGTAAGGGAGATTAAAGGATTTCTCAAACATGCATGAAAGAATCAAAGCGTCACTCCAAGTATGTTTTTGATGAGGGAATAACATGTTATGATGTAAAGCTCAAAAAAGTTATGTTGTACTTCTCCTTTAACCAGGAAAATCCAGTTGGGATTAAAAACCTAGAATCCTGGCCAGGAGGCAGCAAAGGTTACACAACAATCACAAATAGTTACGCAGTTAAAAATACCATACAAATAATTATTAAAAACGGTCACAATTTTAAGAATTTACCTCTAATGCTCTGTCTGGACTTAAAAGTGCTCAATGAAATAAGTTTAGTTAATTTCCAGTCTTTTTGCAACATATGTAAACAGAGCAGAGTAAACAAAGACTGTTGTTCCTAATTCTTTGTGGGGAAATGGGACAGAGAGCAAGAAATGATCATTTGAACACAGAGTGAGAATCAATGTTTCTCTGTGTGATTAGATCATGATGTAGGAGGGCAGCAGCCCAAGCAAGGCCTCACAAATAAAAGTGTACCAATGTCCCAACCTCCTGGTGGACAAAGAAGGCCAGTTCACTTGAGTGGAATGATGGGTCAAGGCTTTGCAGTTTGTAACAAACATGATGGATAGATAGTATCAACTTTTTGGTAGCAATTGTGCTGAGGCGTTCATATATAACAAATCTTTGTAATCTAAAACAGATAAAAATGTTGCTGTGACCAGCTGCTTTTTCACCCTTAAAAGAACAATGACATTTGTTTCAAAAGAAGAAGCACATTTTGGGTTTAATGTACTGCATGGAGGAATGCAGTGATGCTGTGATGCATTGTTTTGTGGTGACGGCAGTAAACCAGCAGGACTGGCTGTGAACCAGAGCCATGCCTCGCTCTGGTTCACAGCCGGTCCAGTCACACAGTTTTACTTCAGCTTGAGGTGTTGCTTCTTTTTTTTTTAATTGTGACCATTGGCTTTTGAGGGAAATTCAGCACGTAAATAATTGTACAGTTGTGGTATGTCTCATAAGTTTCTACCTCTAAACATTCACATTTTATTCAGATGATGGTGCTGCAAAGCTCCATCAAACGCTTGTCATTTTATAGCACAATCACGTAACTGCTACCTTTAGTTTCTATGAAATATAGCATATGTCAAAGATAACTTAAAAGAAAATTGAATTTGCAATTCAAATGCTTTTAAATTGGGCTTATGTCTCTTTAAGAAGCTCCTACTCTCTGACTCTGCCTTTGGCATGTCACAACAATGCTGCTCCATTATGGCGTTTACAAAAGCTCTTTGGAGAGTTGGACTGACGCGTAGTTTCTATGATGAGCTCAGCAGACTCCCATTTCCAGTGAATGTTTACTAATTGCTGCTACTAGTCTGGAGGAGCTGAGTGGGGGAGGGAGGTGTGCTCTGTGAGGCGGAAACTGGGCTGGAGACTGCAGCTCAGAGGGAGGAGCTCTGTGGAAACAGGCGGAGCTTTGTGAGAGCGAGCGTTTAGCCGTGCCCCAATGGTTGCCATGGGAGATTGAAGGATTTCTTAAACATGGATGAAAGAATCAAAGCAACACTCTAGGTATGATTTTGATGAGGAAATAACATGATATAAAGCTGAAAAATTAAAGTTTTACATAATACTGCCCCCTTAATAAGCACATAAATGTCACACTGCTGTTCAAAGTACAGGTGGAACATTTGGGTTAAAGTGTGGATTAAGCAAGACAATAGTCACTAACAAAGCCAAGGAAACTCATAGTTGATTTCAGAGATAGGGGGGCGATTCGCATCCACCTGAATAATGTGCAGTTGCGCCACTGCCTTTAAGAGCCAGGCTTTGCTAAATTGTGTTGTCTGTGCTGTGTTTGCAGAAACATTAAAACTTGATTGCTAAATGGTTGGTCTTATCTACCTGAAAGGTTTTCATTGCTCATATGAACAGCTGTGCTTTTTGTTTTACATCTTAGAACAATGTGTTCTAACTTGACATTAAGATAAACATCTGTAAGCTCACCACTCATCAAACTGGACCTTGTGCTGAGGAGCAGAACCCAGATGTGTGTTTAGGGTTCTCCTGGTTTTGGTTCTCCTGATTGGTTGCAGGTTGTCTGTTAATCTCCAGGTGCCGTGTGCCGGGATTATGTTTTCCATCTCATCTGCACGCCTGCTAATTCTATTGTGAGGCCTGTTTCAGAGGAGCCTCTTTAATCCAGCCTGACACCCTGGAGACAGGTGCACCTGTCGCCACGGAGACACTGTAACCACGGCAACCAAATGTCTGCGCCAGCTGAGCACCAGGAGGAAGAGACATCCAGAGGCTGATGTTGCGGTGTGTTTTTGTCTTTTGATTTTTTGACTAGTCTGAAACACTTTTCAGACTAGTATGTAATTTGGCTCTTTTTCTCCGTCTCTTTTTTTTTTTTTAAAGATGTTGGAAATTAAAATTAATCCCAATTTGTACAGGACTGCCAGACAGTTGCACCGAAAGTAACACTTTGAGTTCAGGAAAATCTTCCTTACGTTCTTTATGTCAGTTGCTCAACTTCCTTTTTGGTTTGTTTTAGGGTGATTTCACTTTAATCCTTTTCATTTTCAACCGTTATGTTGTAGATTATAGATGCAAATCCTAAAATCCTTTGGGTTTATAAAAGTATTTCTGCGTTGATTTTAATGAGTCCAGATGAGTTCAAGTCATCACTCCTCCACTACCTTGCTTAAAAGAACTGCTCTGCTTTGAGTGTTGCTCTCATTAGAAAACACTACGGATGTAAAGATCACAGAGTGTATGATAAAGGAATGTTTATCCATTTATTTTCTCAAAATACTGTTTCAGAGAAAATATTGAAGTGAAGCCGTCATCAGCCTCAGCTGCCCTTTCTCATCTGTGGTCAACCTTTTGTGTCCCTCCTTTTATCCTGTTTGCCTTGACCTTTTTTCCTCAGACATGCTGCTGGATCTCAGTGACATTTTGCAGGTATGTTATCAGTGTAGCGCTGTGAAAAATGATTTCACGTTTTAATGTTAGCCGGTAACAGGAGTAAATACGTAAACCTGATTTCATCTACTAACTTTAGTGAAACGCTATCCGAAGCACTCCGGCTCTGTGGGGCTGAAGGTCATTTCCCTGCCACTGGAAGTTTAACATTTCATCAATTTTCCAGAATTATTGACCTAAAACATGCTGCTATGCAAGTTTTGGTTTTGTTTTCATTGAAATATTTGCACTATAAATTAGATTTAGAAAAATACCTTGTCAGATTTTGTGCTTTTTGCAGCGCATTTGAAATCAGTTTGACTTGTGACCATTGGCTTTTGTGGCAAATAGAATCTTTTTACTGTGCCGTTAAAAAAAGATAAAAAATTACATTTTGTTTTGCTCTAAAATACATGTAAACTGCTAATGTTTTCCTCTTCTGGCTTTTACAAGGCTGACTAACCAATATGAGGGTAATTCCATTATGATTTACTGAAACAATCGCAGCGTGCTTAACTCTAAAAATAAACATATGCTTCCTCTATTTCTTTTTCCGTTTAATTGCCAACAAATGTTCATAAAGTGCAGAAACTGGCTCCTAGCCCCTCACTAGGTTGTGCCTAAAAGCAGCTCTTCCTCACCGCTCGGCCACACGTCTGTTCTGTGCAATAAAACCTGAGGTGTGTGTGTGTGTAAATTTAGAAACCTCCATTAGTCTACATATTTAATGGCAGCCGATTTGCAGTGAGTGGAGGGTGTGGTGGTCATGGTGGGACATTTCTTTGAGTCACAGCTGGTCAGGAGCTTTTATTTTTATGCTCCCAGCTGTCCTGCAGTAGCTGGCGGCCCCTCCCCCAGCCCCCACCTTATACACCCTGGTATTTGGAGGGTGAGGGTTGTCTTTTTGTGGCGAGGGGCTGAAAGGGGGGTGATTAATGCTGGGTCTTTGGGCAGCTGTGGGCCAGTTCCATTCCACTACTTGTGTTTTTTAGTGGATCCACGCCCAAGCCACTTGATCTTTCTTGCATTATCTGAATGACTGCGCCACATCAAAAAAATTTCCTTTAAATATCAGCTGTCTTCTGCAGCTTTTGTGAGGCGTTTTCTGCGTTTGTGCCTGTTGCTGTGCAAAGAAATCTCCGGATGACTGGATGTGCCGGTGGATGAACTCAAGCTCTCCCTTGCCACAAACGTCAGCATCATCACTGCAACTTTATGTGATAGAGATCAACTTACAGTGGCTCAGGATTGTAAAATGATTACATTTCTTATAAATAAAAATATGAAACTATACAGGCGTTTTCATCCCAATCCGCTCAATCAGTATCTGCGTTTCCATTGACCGTCTAGTTGCGCAATTTCACATTTGGCCGTATTGAAATTGGTTTATTTAGCAAAACTGCAATGGAAACTGTTTTTTTTTTTCACATCACACAAGTCACATGATCAGCAGCCGGATGATGCCACGGGTCCAAACCACGAGGAAGAAGACAGGAAGTAGTACATGGCGTGGCATGATTAATTTTTAATGACACTTGTCACGTGAACAAGCTTATTCATGTGTGATTTTAATTATTTAATGGAACCATCGCAACTGCGAAATTGTGTTTTGTCGATATTAGCGGAATGTTGACAGTTTTCCACAGGTGCTATGGAAACACAGCTACTGCCACTTTTCAATTACAACTGCTTTTATTTTCTGTTATTTCTTTTTTTTTTTTTTTCAGCTTTGTACGTCGTCAAACTGAATGTTTTCCTCGTTCTTTGGTACAAAATGACTCAGACTGTCTGATGTGTGTTTCAACTTCTAAGACTTCCTGTAAATGACCCAAACCGTTTTATGCCTGGGCTACTCTAAAACACGACATGCTTTGAGCAAAACCATTCCACGTGAAAGTTACTTTCCTAGGTTGTTCTGTACTCTTCAGGGTCAATACAGATCAAACATTTGATTAAAAAAAATAAAAAAGTTCTTAAAGTTCTGGTTCACAATATTTCCTAAAACCAGTATGGGTTTTTTAGGTATTTTAGGATGCCTTTACTGTATGATCGCCTCTTAAATTTTCCATTTATTTATTTATTTATTTAGCATAATACTGACCTTATTCTTGTGATTATGTTACCGTACAATTACTATGTTATCATTTTAAAAAGCATTGAAACAAAAGAGGCTAAGTCTTAGGGTTAAATAGATTTAACTGTTCCACTGTGCAGCCCCTTTTTTACTGTTGTTTTTTAATCGAAGAAGCAATAAAATAGAATATGTACTTTCATATTGCCAAATGGCCATTAATATCTAAAAAGATTATGTTGTGCTAAATCTGTAAATGTTTACAAGACATAAACATTGTAACATTGTCTATACTGATTGGTTGGACTCAAAGTGTTAAGTTTTATGCAGAAAATCCTAAAAAAAAAAAAAAAAAATCCAAATGAAAAGAAATCACAATGTATTACTTTAAACTTTAAAACTAAGCTTTTAAACTATGACTTTCTTTTAGTAAAAAAAACAAAACATAACTGAGGTCTTTTTTTAAAATAAAGGATGATCAAACATAAAATTTATTCAGTAACATAGTCCAAACATCAGAGAGTTGTGTATTTTTGGTTAATTTCAGTTTATCTTTGCCTCCTCCAGTTCGTGTTCACTCAGTGGATTGGTTTAATTTTCTAACCTGCTGATCAAACAGAGAGTTGATTTTTGTTCTCTTGAATAATGGTAAGAACAGATTTTAGTTAATGTAAATGTTTTTTTTTTTGTTGGTTTTTTTTAATTCTTTGTACTTTAGAGGTTGCTACTCACCAAAGGCTTGTTTTTTTTTTCTGTAAAGATCAGTTTTTAATGCTGACATTTTTATGTTGGCATATGTCTCCATTTCCACGTTTGAGTCTAAATTCCTTGCTGGAATCCAGGGTCCCTGCTGACTCCCTAGGGTGCTGCAGTGAGACTCCATCCATCTGTCTGGCCTGGACGCCTGGTCCTCCTTAAGCACCAGGAGGTCCGGGCAGATTGTCTGAAGGAATGGCAGAGCTTTCACTGGAGGTCATGACCTTATTCTCTAGCCTTTGCTGCCTTCTGCTCCAGATTTCAGCACTGAAGCCCCCCCTTCTGCCACAAGTCTTAATTTTGGGCTAACTCTGTTACCTCTGGAGGAAGACGGTAGAATGTGGCTCTGTCCCTTTGTTATTCCACAGTATCCATCAGTATGTCGTTTCAGAGGGTGGTTTGGGGGGACAAATTTACCGCAGAGCCTTCTGGATGGCCAGTGGGCTGAAACACAATGAAACATCTGTGATGGGCGGTCCCGACGCAGACGATTGTACTGCCCCGCTAGGCTTCACCCAGTTCCACCCACACAGCTCCTCCTGCTTCCATCAGCTCCACAAAGTTTCAAAGAAACTCTTTGATCCCTTAATTTATTAATTATCAGTGAGAGTGATGTTTGAAGTTTTTAATAATGCCACAAACAAAATGGCACGTCAGAGATTCATTTAACAGCATGAGGATGTATTTATCAGACTAAATAACTTAAGGGAACATTGTTGTTTTTTGTGTCCAGTTTGGACTTTGATTTTATTTGACATGGTTGGTATGGAAAAACAAAAAGGGTTGGAAAATCTGAGTATTTTCAGACTTTATTGTGTATCCTTCTTCTTCTTTCCTCCCTCACCCTGTTTAGTGGCATCAGAGTTCAGTCTTCACAGATTCACCTTCTCACAGATTCTTAAAGTGGCAGTATTATTTGTTTTCCAGCTACATAGTGTCATTTGTTGCACAATCAAGTAATTATCATCTCAGGCTGACAAAGTGATCAGTGACAGGAAACTGAAAGCATCTAGCTTTTTTGAGGGCGTTTCAAAGCTGGGATGAAAACATAAGAAATACTCCAAATAATGAATTCTGGAGGGTTTGGTTTACTGCTACACCGAGTTACACAGGCCAGGTTTGAGGGAGTTCAACCCATTTCTCTGTCAGCTGGTATATTGTTATGGATTCTCACTGAATTGCTCCCATACTTCACTTTCATTGTGGCTTGATGAAGAAATATGTTCTACTTTGGATTCTTGTGTCTTATTTTGAATTGTTTGTTTGCTGGTTGTTTTTTTTTCCTATGTTGTTATTTTATGCTGTGATTAAACTGACAGGATAAGCCCAGCCTGGATGTCTAACAAACTGTACACATGTTTTAAATGTTGCCTTTTTATTAAAAAAAAAAAAAAAGCTTTTTGAAGAAGTACATTCAGCTCAGATGGAGACTAGTTAACGACTTTGTATCGATTTGAATTGCTACAGTCTGCATTTCGGGGAAAATCATCTTCCAGAAATGGAATTTCCAATGATGTTGACTCATTTACTGGCTGTAGATACACAGTCGGCTCCTGATGTTGCTGGATCTCACCGATGCTTTTAGTACAGTAGACGACTGTATTTTGCTTGACAATCATTTCAGTATCTCAGGACTTCAGTGGTGAAGATCTCACTAATCATATTTTTCTTGTATTTTGCGTCATTTGGTCTGATTCTACCATCATGTGGGGTAACCTCTCACCTATATATGCATATGTATGTGCATTACAAAATGGATCTGAAACATCTGGACCACTCATTGCCTTTTACTTGACCTGTACATAAAGGACTGACCAGCTCAGCCTTTTTCCATTTGAAGAATAAGAGCAGACCAGATGAAACTTGTCAAGATCCTCATGCATGTCTGTCTCTTAAAGATTAGACTATTGTTAGAAACTTTTATCAGGTTTACCCAGGAAGACGCATCACACAGCAGAACACAGTAACAAGGTTTTTACAGGTAGAAGTAAGTTCTCACAAATCGCTTCAGTTCAGAAATCTCAGCTCTGGCTTCCAGTAGAGAAGAGAGCAGATTATAAGGTAACTTTTGAGCTTTACATCATGTTATGATGATATAAAGCTCGTGTTGCTTTGATTCTTTCTTTCGTTTTTGAGAAATCCATTAATTTCCCATGGCAACCATTAAGCTGTGTTAAACACCTGGTTGGACCTGGCACTGCCTTCAGTTTCCGAGCTTCCGCTTCACAGAACACTCCTCCCTTGCAATCCCTTCAGACTAGCCAGCAGCAATTAGCAAACACCTGGTAGAACTGCAACTCTGCTGAGTTCATTATAGGAGCTACTTCTCAGTGAACGCTGGTAAAAACTTGGCTCCTCTATTAAACTTTTAGCAATGTTGTGGTGATTTCCTGAAGGTGAAGTATCAGAGCAGGATTTTTTTAGAGGCAGAGGCCCAATTTCAAGGCATTAAATTAATTACAAGGTAACATTTATTTTAAGTCATTTGATATAGGTAGCATTTTTATAACAACTGAAGTTAACATGGCTACTTGATTGTGCTATGAAGTGGCACTCATCACACTGCAACTTTAATCAAGTTTGCAAAACTAAAACAGATTTTTATTTCAGTATCTTTGCTTTTTAATTACATATGTGCTAGCCTGTTACTTTTTATTCATCTGTACAGGACTTTGACTGACTAATTAACTTCCTATATTTCTCATCCTCCCTTCCTTTGACTATGTTCTCTGCAGAAGCTGATTTTTATTTTTTCAATTTTTTGGGGGGGACACTGCTTAATGAGTGATTTTACTTTCTAAGCAGTGGACAGTTCTTTTAACCGAGAGTGAATTCACTCTCAGTTCAACAGTAAAAAAAAAATCAAACCAAATGGCTGAGATTGAAGCAGTGCAAACATCCCTCTAAAAGCTAACTAACCATGTATCTAAACATGTAACATTTGTCAGTATTGTTAAAGTTGAGATTTTATTTTCTCACGTTGGTGGTCAGCAGTGACTCGAGTCGTAGAGGCTCAATAGAAGTGGTCCTGGAGATTCCTGGTTCAAATCTGGTTCCTTCCTGCGATAATTATGGGAATAATAATAATTATTAATTATGGGATAATTAATTCAGGAATGGCATCCAGCATAAAACGTCCGCCAAGTTTGTGTGCGCACAGCTGTGGAGTGAGGCTGCTTAGCTGTGACATCCCTGGTGCAGGAGGCGCCACAAGGACAACAGCAACAACATGTAATGTTCTTGTTCACCTTTGGGCCCTTTAAGATACAAATATGAACTCTTTAAGAAAATGCTATAATTAGCTTTTTTAATGCTTGTTGCCACCTTAATATTATACACTTTCCAAAGACTGACTGCCATATTTTGTGCTCTGGAATAGTTCAGTGCAAGGGACAGTAGCTTTCTTTCATTTCTTCCAAAACTTACTTTTCTTGAAAGTTTTTTTTTTTTAAATTCTGATTTTGGATATTGTGGAGCTGATTGATCTCTCCAAAACATGCATAATACCATCAGGTATTATTAAATGCATCGGGCCTGTCATCTGCTGGAGGTACTCTGAAGACTGCTGTTTTCAGGCATGCAAGGGAAAAACAATGGACTGTGTCCAAAGATACAGTCGATCGCTTTATTGTGTGGTGTTGGAAACATTCCCTAATCTTGAATGTGAACATAAAAAATGATTTCATTTGAAGATTACAGAAGAAGCTGTAATATACCACAGATGGTTTTCATCATGGGAGAAATGAAGGTGATGGAAGAGTAACACTACCTCAGTGATCTCCCAGGCCATGGACTAAACTGGAGCCTAAAGAGTGGTTATGTGGGAGCTACCACCAGAGAGCAAATTCTCTGATGGTTCGTAGATTTTAGCAAGACCTGAAACATTCTAAAACTCTTCAAACTTTTTGGATAGTGGAAGTTTAAAATGTTAAACATTGGAGATCAGAATGTTCATAGTTATGACAAACCATTTTTCCTGTTTCATGCGTGGCTCACGTCTGTAAAGGTCATATTGTTGTAGAGTTATAGAAGTAGAGCTCTGTTCATACGGAAGGAGGCCTTGGGTCATTGTATCAATCAGAGGTAAAATAAAATGATCAAAACTGAATATTGCTGAAATGTCAGCAGTCCACATTCATTCAGGAAGAAGTGTGTGCAATCTGACCATGGGGCACATTGAGATTTCTAGTTGAGATGTGGAAATTCTACCTGCTGGCAGGGAAAAGGTGCAGTAACAGAGTGCAGCTCAAATTCTGTAAGAGCTCAGTTTTTAATCGGTCATGTTCATGTGAAATGCTTTCACACTTTGGTCCATTTGCATAATCTGATTGCTAAACCAGTCTGGGAAGCAAAGGTTGTATCAGATGCTTCCAGTCTGCTTCACACAAACACTGGAACTGGTGGACCAAATGGTCTGAAGCCAGATTAGAAGTCTGCCTGTGGCTTTGGGCGGGTTCAGTGGCTTAGTCGATACTGTATAAATGTCTGTTACAGACGGAGGAGGATCTAACAGTACCAGGTTTTCACATGTCTAATCAGTTTTCTAACAAGTTGTTCATGTGTTTGTGTTCACAGGTGAATGTGTTTGTGCTGGGAAAAACCTTCCTCATGCTGGCTAAAGAACTTTGCATCAATGCTCCAGCTATAGGTATTGATTTTCACTTTATCCTCTTCATTTAGCATTCTATAATTTTTTACAAGGCACTGTAGCTTCAAACTGCTTGATGTCAGAACCACAAACATCAGCCTATGTTACAGAATAGATGGCACAAATTAGACCAGAAATGGGAAGTGGAGGGAAAAAGCTAATAAGAAACTTGTGTTGTTTTCAGGGACTGAATTGTTTGTTTATTTGGATAGTTTAATATGTTTATTTTAATACATGTATAAAAGGTAGAGCTGTTAACACGTACGATTACTCTAAAAGGTTTAACACGTTAATATTACATGACGCTAATTATCCTTCACTACAATAATATTCTATCACTGTTTCAATAAAATAACTGAGATGAATGAACATTTCATCAATATTCTAATCAGAGATGATCAGGTGTTCTGATGGAGTGATCGATCTTTTCACTAAGATAGGCTGCAGTTTATGCCTCCTTAACCAGGGGGCACCATAACCCCCTCTGTGTCCCCCCAACACAAAGATTTGCATCTGTTTAGAACTTTAACATTTTATTATGAGGTGTGTAAGCATTCTTGGACAGAACACATCAGGTTTTTAACAGCATCAAGCTGCTAACAGTTGAATTGTATTTTACAAAAGACACAAAATGTTTGTGAGGTCGTCCTCTGAAGTGCAAAGCCACCGTTAGTGAAGAGCTTTCCGTCTCTCCCTGTATGTCTACTCAGAACCCTACATTAAGGTCGCTCCTTGTGGAATATTGCTGCTGTAACTGTAAGAACAACATTGTATTAAACTACGTCTTAAAGCAGTCTCTACTCACTCCAGGTTTGATTACATAAGCACAGTATGAGTGTTGGTTTCCACAGCAGATGCAGCCCTTCGACACAAGCAGCAGAGTAAATAACCTTTAATCAGCACTTAAATAAAAAAAAATAATAATAACCTTAAATTAAATAGAATAAAACAGCTCCTGTTGCTTTTAAAATAGTCTCTGGAGGAACTACGTAGGCTAGTTAATGTGACGTTAACATAATGTCTGAATGCTACATTAGCTTGAAGGCTAGAAGGTGGCGGCAGCAGCTCAGGCGTAGAACACCAGCTCTGGGATCTGCCCTCCCTGCACGCCCGTCCCATTGGTGCTGTCTGAGGAGCACTGGAACTGAAAAGTCACCTTCCCACATTGCACCTCCGTCATGCCCTCCTGACCGAAGTAGCTCAGCTCGTTCCCGTCCAGCACGGCGCTCACCGTGTAGAACGTGTCCTGCTCCACCTGGACGGGATGCTCGAACCATACGGGGAACGTGCTGCTGGAACCGTCCGACACAAACTTGGTGCGGTTCTGAGCCAGGGTCACCCCCTGCCTCTTCAGCTCGATCTTCACGGCGTACTCGGCCTTGCCGCCGCTTGACCCGTACAGCCCCAGCCCGGCGATGAAGATCCTCTTGTCCACGGCGAACTGGATGCTGTCGCATCGGCCCCGGTAGCGCCACTGGTTGCTGCGGTAGGCGGACGACTGGAAGCGGTGGCACTTCTGTGGGGACAGGCCCTTCCTCGGCACCAGGGGGAAGTCCAGCGTGGGCTTCTTGGCCGCCGTGTACCACAGGAAGACGTTGTGCGTCTCCTTCAGGGTCAGGATGTCGGACTGCGCTGCTCCGTTGGCGAACTCCTCCACGCTCATGGTGGGTATCCGCACCAGGAACAGTGCCTTGCCCAGGACGTTCCTCTTGTTGCACGTGGTGGGCCCCAGGCCCTGCCTTTTGCATTCCGCCGCAGCCCAGTTCATGACCGCGTCGAACACCACCACCTCATCCGTGTTGAGCGTCTCCCTTTGCAGGATGATTTCCAGCGTCTGCAGGTCAATCTCGCAGAATCCCTCCGAGCGCAGCGCCAGCTCAGCCTGGGCGTCGATGACCTCCCAGCAGCGCTGCATCAGCTCCGGCTCCTCAAACAGCCGGCTCTGGGAGAGCAGTACACAGGCGTTCTTGGCCTCCAGGCTTGTCTCCAGGAAGGTGACGCAAGCCTTGGCCAAAGCCGGGACGATGTACTTCTTGGCGGCGTACAGAGTGGCCAGCACTGTGTCTGCCTCCAGGTCAATCTCGTCGCTGTACAGGTATCTGAGAGCAGAAAAAATATCACGAAATTAAGATTATGTAGGTGCTGAAAGATGCAAATCTTTCAGTGTGTAGTGATTCAATTCCAGCTTTCAACGTCACGATTCAATTCACAAACTATTTTTAATTCGGAAACCAATTTTTCTATTCAAACAATAGTGAAATTCTGTTTAAATCATGTGACTGAGAGGAAAAGAATGTACGCTAGAGATGCACGATATATCGGCACTAACATCGGTATCTCCTCGATAAATAAAACTACACCGATACTAAGCAACTTCCCCTTGGGGTTCAATAAATATATTGTATTTTATTAACCACCGATATTTATTTCCATCTTGTTGCTGTCTGTTTCTGGTCATTTTTTTCTCCAAGGCTGTCAAAACAGTGGCAAAATGTATATAATATCAGTAAATATCGGTTATTGGCCATAACAGCATTATTATCGTGTATCAATATCAATCCCAATTTTCATATTGGTGCGACCCTACTGTAAACAAAAGTAATATTTATTTAAAATGACTGTGTGAGGTTCCATACTCTATTTAATTTCATCAGTTTATGTTTAAACAAAAATAGGCTTGTGCATCAAATTCAGTATTTGGTTAGCTTAGCTATCCGATTTTTTTCTTAAATAAATGAAGTAAATGAATTATAATAGAATAGTAAAGTTGATTCAAGTAATCATGAACTCATTCAGTATAAACAAAGTTAAATATTTGAAGCAGTTATTGCTGGTAATTTTGATCATTGATGAAAACCAGAAATTCAGTTTTTTTTTAAATCTAAATATTACTGTACATCAAACAAGTGAAAAATTATTAATACAGAAATGTGACGGCCTACACTGTCATGAAGAGAATTGCTGACTTTTCAGTTGTCGAGCCTCTCGTATCCCCACAGAGGGTCAGCCAGACAAGATCAAACAAGGAAAAAGCTGATTGTTCACATTCTTGTAAAAGGGATGCTAGAAAATGGTGGCCTGACTGAACTTCCTTAGAGAACGTATGGTGTGTTGCTAAGAGGAAGATGAGACATCTGAGCCAACATCACAGGCGAGTTGAAAGCTGCCATTAGAGCTACCTGGGCTTCCTTACAGCCTCGGCGGTGTCACATTACCTCAATGGCAAACTGATGCAATTATTCATAACAAAAAAAATAAATAAATATTCAAGCCAGACATTATGTGAATATACTTTGTATATGAAATACTTAACTATAGGCCAGATTGTCATGATGATCCTAAGTGATTAAGTTAAAGGAAACTGGACTTCTTCTCTTTTTCCTTGAAGACATTTCACCTCTCATCCAAAATGCCTTTGCCTTTCTTTTGGATGAGAGGTGAAATGTCTTTAAAAAAAAAGAAGAGTCGAGTTTCTTTTTACCTGAGCAATTAGGATCATCAGAATGAGCCAAAATAGAGCCAATTCAAAACTACTTTAACTGTGTATAAAGGGAAATGAAATGTTCTGCTAGCTCACATCATCCAAGTATCTTGAAGGTGTTCTACAAAGGATCTGCAGTAGCAGTCAGTATTACATTGAATCCAAACAGGCCTCTGACTGAAGAGTATTGCTGAATGCCAGTCTCATGACAGTAATGCAGTGGTCTGCTAAACCACTGCATTTGCTTTTGCTGCTCCTCTTTAAATGTCTGTCTGACTATATGGTTAGAAAGCCAGGAACAGAGAGACGTTGTAGTCGGGTAGGTGGTTCTTGCCTAGATGTTTGAAATATATAACTCTGTGTTAAGTGTATTTATAAAATTAGTTTCGCTTTTTGAATTATATTACAAAAATGTATTTAAAAGGGCAGAATAATGTGTTTTCCAGGCACATAGTGCCGAAGTTAACTGTTAACTTCAGTTCTTTAAAAAAAAAAAAAAAAAACATTTAACAACTGTTTGTCATAGACATTATGATAAACTGCAGCTCTGAGGAGGAGCTATGTCCCAAAGGCGGAACTAGGTCCATCCTGGGGTTTTGCAAAGCTGGATGGTTGCCATTGGAGATTAAAGGATTTCTTAAACATGCATGACACAATCAACACCCCAGGCATGTTTTTGATGACATTATAACATGATGTAAAACTCAGTCAATTTTATATGATACTGCCCTTTGAAATACATCAAATTTAAATGTCTTTTTATGCAACTACTTTACAAAAATCAACATCAACAGGTGATACACTATTATTCAAAGCTAAGCGCAAAAAAAAAGCTATGTTACATTAAATGATATAACTTCTGTTAATATGTGTCTGAAGATGGGAAACGATGGTTGAGGATTTCTAAGGAGTGAGGAGAAGCCCAGCATTTCCAGAGCGTAATCGCTGCCTCTGCTTTCCACTCCCAGACCTCTGGCGTTTAGCCTCCGCCTAGCTTCGTTCGGATGAGTAATGACGCGCTTTGAAGTGACGCTGACTGCGCTTTGTGATGTGGGCCTCTGATCGGTCATGTGTGGCTTACTTCAGCAGAATTAGAAAAGCAGCAGGTTCCACATCTGGGATATGGATTTCCGACTCCTCCTCGGCCAAATCGCCGTAAAACATGGCGCAGAAGACGGAGCTTCCCACGGCCAGGACGTACTGGGAGGAAAACGGGAGATGCATTCGTCACACCTGGCTTTTTATTATTAAAGGCAACAAAGGAACAGAAATGGCTGTGAATCACACACATGGTTTTACCTTGTGAGCAGGTATTTTCTGTGACGCCCCCAGGGGCCCCACGATGAAGTGAATGTCAGCCATCAGCTCATTGTTAAACATCAAGGCATTCCTGAAAGACCAAGTTTCACAAGTTAGGCCCAGGATTGTATAACACCAGTTGCTGTCATGTTAGTTACAGATGCCAGTTAGCCTCACTGTTAAATTATGCACTTTCTGTTTCCAAAGTATGCTTATATTT